CCCATAGCACACTTCGTGTGAAGCATATTGAGGAGATACTCATACAGAAACTGCGTGCCCTCGCAGGCGTTGAGGGATATATAGGAGTGTTATTTCAAGCGAACCGTTATACTATACTCCTCCTAGATGATTGCTTGTCGCCTACACGTGGCCCAATTAGGTAACCATTTCTGACTCTGGCCCAAACTAGTTAAATCTCTGTTTGAAATTAATAGCGTCGAATGGCATGAGAATTTCACGGTGCCCATACCTGTAGGTTGTGGACCGTATTCACTCTTATGAAAGATGTTTCATCAGGCCGTACTACACGACACAAAAACTCGAGTTCTTCCATAATTTTGTGTAGAAGTAATAAACGAAAATGGAGCCGAGAGTTATTGTCCTCTTACTGTAGGCGTAGTACAAATTGTACATGAATTTGATGCAGAAGCCCCTCATCCAATGCATACCAAATGTGCGACCCGACGGATGCCAGCCAGTGAATTTTCATGTATGTATGTAAGTGTGAAAAAGGTGGGCCAAAAAAACCGGCCCCCGCACTGCGATCTTCAATGATCTATTGTACTTCCCCATGCATTAGCCCTTTATTGGTCCTACACTTTTAATAAGGTGTAGGACCCTGCTTATGGAGGCGTCATAAAAATCACTTGGTTCCATAAGAACTGACCCAAGTGACGAAATCTTGTGTGAGCTGCGGCCTCACAATCACATAGGATGTGTGTGGCTGATTCGTCTTCTTGTAGGCACCTTTCACACGTTGGGTTATCTGTCAGTCCCAACTTGGAAAGGTGTCCTTTTAGGTGGCAGTATCCGGTAAGTAATCCTACCACCCATCTTAGTTGATCTGAATTCGCATGTAAGTACAGCATCAGACATTCACCCTCTAACCGTCCTCCTGAACTTCCTTCGATTTTAAATTTATATTTAACGCAGCTTCCTACTTTCAGCTCTTTGGGGTAGTTTCGGCGTAGTGTTGGGTGGTAGAGGAAAGGCGGTTAGGTATCTCAGTATCTGTCGGCTAGTGAATGAGAATTCACGAATGTGGGAGAAGAGAAATGCATATAGGATATTGGTGGGAAAGCCAGAAGGAAAGAAACCACTGGGAAGACCAAGACGTAGGTGGGTCAATAATATTAAAATAGATTCTAGAGAGATAGGATGGGATGGTATGGATTGGATTCAACTGGCTCAGGATAGTGAGCAGTTGAGGGCTCTTGTGAACACGGTAATGAACCTTCGGGTTCCATAAAATGCTGAGAAATTCTTGAGTAACTACAGACTTTTCGGTTTCTCAAGAAGTTGGAGAAACAAGCGGTAAGCGCCCCCCCCCCCCCNATAAAGAATAAATCGAAATATTGTTTACTCAGTACTAGAACCTTAATTTGATGTCTTTGACATGGAATCGAACACAAACTTGGAGTCCGTCTTTGCTTAGTAGTCGCCGCTTTACTCCACTTGTTTAAGATCTCTACGTCGAATCACCGAAACTTGGGTTTAATTCTTCACAGAAGGTTCTTGTTCGGAACGGAATTCCGCAACGGATAAATTAATTTGGTTTAACTATGCGAGCTGAGGGCCCAGAAGTCAGCACGCAGCATTTAAAGGGTTATGTCCGTAACCGTTTCGGAGATCGAACCTGCTAAATTCTCAGTATGAATACATTTGTCGTTCCCATTGGTCCACCAATAAGCAGTCTGCATTTTTATGGTCACGGCAGAGATTCGAAACTACTTTCGCTCTTGTCGCTATGTTTTCACCAGAATTAGTGTGAGCCATAAGCGAACGCAGTGTGAGCTTGGTCGTGTGAAGTTACCAAGGCTTCAGCACGCGAAAATGAAAGAGGGTAAAGACTAGAATTCTGAACTGCCGTAACTCCGAAACGGTAGTATATCGAACAGCCTTTTGTTTATTTCAAGCTCCAAGTGATTTCTTGAGCGACCATATACGTATAGTTTTGAATTAAAGCACAATGCTTGATACATTGTTCAGGGACTCAATTATTGGTTCAGATTTTATTTGGTGACATTACTGTAATTCGTATTATATATTTTTCGACTGGCATGAATACCCTATCAGTTTCATAGTAGGCATATTTACTGACATTCTAATCTCGAAATGCACCACAAGGGCTATAATATATAAGCGTCGATGACAATGAAATAAGTGCAGTGTGTCCAAATATCAAAGTCCTGATAACCGCGACAATTTCCTGTTGAAAATTCGTCGGGTGTTATGCAAGTAATGAAAGCTTGCTTACTAACCTCTGCAGCTGATACGTCTTCGTTGAAGAACACATCGATCGAGAATCGCCAGAAATGAGGGAATGAGGTGAGTTAGGAGGGACTGCTGAGAAAATATATGCACTCTGTTTCAAAAACTCTTCAGTGTTTTTGCGCAGGAGGGAGGATTAAAACCACGTAACTCCATAGAAGTGTCTATACTCGAACCCGGTAGTTCTTCACTGCAAATCAACATATTACCTTCTGATTTAATCCACTCAGAAACTCAGCCCAGTTACTGACACATATGTGTGTCGCAGCTGCGTACATTTTCCCTTGAATTTGACAGCGATGAAGTGACACTGACCTCTTTTATTACTCTTCATGTTCTTGACTCCTTGTCATAACCTCCAATTAAGTTCCTGGGGTGTCAAACGTTGTTTGCTGGCTTTTTTTATTGCTAGTGGGGTGGGACTAAGTCCCCTCTACTATGGCCACTTCTGGCCTATTGTACTAGCCCCAGATGACAAGTGAGGGTGATAATGGGGCAATTGATGGAATGAAGATTGGCAGGGGAAACCGAAGTACTCGGAGAAAACCTACCCCAGCGCCACTTTGTCCACCACAAATCCCACTTGACCAGACCCGGGATCGAACCCGAGCCGCCACGGTGGGAAGCCAGCGTCTAACCGCTTGAGCTATGGCGCGGCCATGCTGGCTTAAGTATGGCCAGAAGTAGATCAAAAAATTTGGTGATAAATATGACTTCTCCACTGAACAGATACATCTGAACTAGTAAGGCTGTGCAAAGTAGGGGTTGAAGTCACATCTTTGTGTTTTCGTACTGCTTGGGAAAAGGGGACGTGTAGAATAAGGAAATACGATCTAAGGGGTCCGACTTAAGTAGCCTTAGAATAGGAGTTCACAGACCTTGAGACCTGGGGCACCATTCAAACTGTTTTAACGAAACAATGCTCACCTTGTCGTAAACGACGTAACATTTTACAAGACTTCATAGCAGCTTTTAATAACAAGGATATTCATATATTACCATACATATAGAATATTGGTGGGAAAGTCAGAAGGAAAGAGACCACTAGGAGGACCAAGGCGCAGGTTAGTGGATAATATTAAAATGGATCTTAGAGAGATAGGATGGCATGATATGGATTGGATTGATCTGGCTCAGGATAGGGACCGCTGGAGTGCTCTTGGGAACACGATAATGAACCTTTGGGTTCCATAAAATGCTGGGAAATTCTTGAGTGGCTGCAGAATTTTCACAAACACATACAGGACAACATCAAAGAACCCTCTTCTCGAGAACAAGGCGGCACACTTTCGGCCCCCGTCAAGAGAAATAGAAAGAAAAGGACACGAACCTACTTGGTTTATAAATTCCAATAAAATATTAACAAACCTATTACAGATATTTTAATGTATTGGAACAGCCGCTGTAGTTGTATAAAATTTAGATTTTATACCCAAGTGTGTATTATTAACATTATATGTATATATTTTATCGTTCAGAACATATATTGTAATAGTGACTTCCAACTGTATTGATGTAAAGATGTCCCTCTGATGATGGTCTCTGAAGATGGAAACATGTAAGGGAAAGAATAATTAAAATAAATATCTCCGCCAGTCACACTAGACGGAACCGTTTAACTTTTCATGATATTGTTAGTGTGACGGACCAGAATGAAACAAATCAAATGCTAATTAGATATAAATTAAGTAAAAGTTTGTCACCCAGAATATGATTGCTTCGTTAGTATCATGTTATAATATTCGTCTATAGGCCTATAGTAACTTAAATTATGAAGCGTAAATAACGCCCAAATTAAGAAATTTAAATATACTTATGTGATCGCCTCTGTGGTCTAGTGGTCAGAGTGCCTGGCTACAGACCTAGAGGTCCCGGGTTCGATTCCCGGCGCTACCAAATTTTCTGAGAAGTAGTGAGTCTGGAACGGTATCCACTCAGCCTCGTGAGGATAATTGAGGAGCTATTTCAAGGAAATAGGGGCTCCGGTCTAGAAAACCGAAATTGCGCTGACCACGTGACACCCTCTATCCGGTAAAGATGGCACTAACTTCGCCGAAAAGCGGCGGTCGCTCGGTCGGTATAATTCGCTTGCGGACTACAGGCCACTGAGTAAATATATTTATGTAATAAATTTGGAAACGAAAATTCTAATCGAGTCCAAATAAGCAACACTTGCACACCGCTTTAATAGCCATGGACACTCTGCATATTGGCAAGAATAGAGAAAAAATGTCGTAATATCTGTGAGTGGATTTATACATACGATAATATTTATTTAATAATAAATGTATAAAACATCATTTCGTAATACAACAAAGAAATTAGGATATGTTGTTTGTATTAATAAAATAATTAGGAACTTCAGACGAACCTCACACTCCATCATTCATCTATTCATTCATTCTTCTCTGATACATCTTTCCATGTCTCAAGAGCAGCATCACCAATTTTTCATAAGATGCTCCAATTGACTTCCTTCCCGTTCGTTCATAATTCCATGTGTCGCGTTGCATAAGAGCTTTTGTGATATTTATGTGTCATTTTCGTTGTGTTGGCATTGAAAATTTGCAGAAATGTGCGTAATAATTTCTACATGTCTGTCCGTGTCTGTCCACATGTAACAACTCGAAAACCAATGAAACAATTTTCCATGAAATTTGATATTTGGGAGTTTTGTTAAACTTTGTCGACACATTCCAAATTTGAATTTAGTTGAACAACAATAATAGTCATCTTCTACGTAGAACAACACGCTTTTCAAGGTAACTGAACAACGAAATCGAACATACTAGAACTGTTACATTATATGTAAAGTAAGGACAAAAATGCGCCGGTGCTTAATGAGAAAGGGCCATATAGAACTAGGGAGAGTGGAGGCATAACTCCACGAATTCTTATTCTCGGCACTACATGGATGCAACTGGTAAATTTCATACCCTTGCCGCTCTGCTACCGGGGGGAAAGGGTCTCCATTTCTCACTGTGCAGGAAGATGAACGGTCTGGACACTATGG